TACAGCAGGTGCATTTCATGAACTAGCAAAGCAGCCCACGAGATTTTCTTCTTTTCAAAACGCGTGTAATTTTATGCATCAATTTTCATATATGGCAACTTCAATCTTGCTTTTTTCACTAAGATTATAATAAGTTGTAATAATATGCTGTAAAAAATGTACCCCCAAGTATTAATTTGCGAAATCTGAACGAGCATGGATTTAATTTTGTTTGAATTTTTGCACGAGACAACATTTAGATCATGCAATCGACATTATGATAAGGGTATTTGCAAATTTGGTCATCACTCTCCCTATATTTGCCAAATTAGTCAGAAAACAGCTGAGGACAATTATAGAAAAAATATTAACCGATTAATTTAGTTTTAGTACCAGCACCAGCATGTGTACTTCAGCCTCATCTATCCCGCAGTTCATTTTCCACGCAGTGCCGGACCTGCAGTTTACCACAAAATAAAGTACCTCGTCTCAAAATCAACGTCCTGCATCGAGCCGTTCCCTCTTGCTCCCGATGGCTAGCACCTCAGACTGCCCTACCGACCGCCACAGCGTCAGGCAACTCATGCGCTCCAGAGCTGCGTATCTGGGGCGCCAGTACGGCCATCAGCTACGGCTTCTCAGGCAGAAGCTCAACCACGTGGTGAGTTTACTCCATATTTCAGGATTGTTGTGTGTAGGAGAAATGTGCAGTTCCTGATAAACTGTAGTGTAGTTGTTGAAGCAGTTCCTGATAAATTGTAGTATTTTCTATCTCAGAGGTGCAATTGACAACTATTGGATATGTTAAATCACATGTTAAAGTTACTCAATCTCTAAATTGATAAGGCTCAATAATACTTATAAGGGATGTCTGTTTCATTAAAGGGAGGCATGTCAGTTCTTCGGAGGTCTTTTTTCCAATACATTCTTTATTACTCGTAATCTGAACCTCTCTGAATGCATGAAAGACTTTGATCACTAATGGTATAATGTCTCGTCAAATAAGTCGTGAGACTGACTTCACAATTTAGTGCTATACCTTTATTAGAGCAAAATTACATTATAAATATTGCATTTATTCAAGGTAATCAGTCATAAAGGAAACTTTACTAGTGCTTATTCCGTGAAAATTGAGTTTCGTTTACTTTCTTCTCGCATGAGCCTCCCTCGTGATTTTTATTGAAAATTGAGAATAATAACTTTCGCAGCATCAAGATGACCTGCACGACCTTCAAGAGCGGCAGCTATACACTGTAATGCAGATGCGTGTGCTCCTGAACACGCCTCTTAGTCAACTGACTGTGAACAAAGCACTGAAACTCAGGAAGGCGCTTTTATTTTCACTCGAAGGAGCGACTGCCGATGCCCGTTCATTTGAAACAAAGCTGTATATGGACATCTTTATAATAACCACAACACTTCTTCTGGCATTTAGCCACTCTCAATGCTCCGTAAAATCTCCCAGAACTCTTAAATGTGTCATATTCAAAATTATTGACATAGGCCATGACATACATGATGTCCTTCGCCTACAAGGTGATCTAGCACTGTCGAACCTCGTGAAGCACGAGTACGAAAGGTTCAGAATTGCCGAAGATTTAAGCACCTCGATGATATTTTTCAGTGGGTTGATCACGGGACGAATTGATTTTTCGTATCAGCCTCTGAGGGAAGACCTGCCCTCAGTCCTCACCGCTCCTCTGTCCTGTAAAGGACAGGAATGCGCTATTTGTTTGGAAAATATAATTGAAAAAGAAGGCTTTTCAGTGCTGCCAGGTTGCCGACACTCATTTTGTTTGCCTTGCTCAAGAAAACTCTTCAATAGTACGTGAGTACCAAGAAATTCCATCCATAACGTATGTTTTCTGTTCGTATATTAGCATTTAATTGGGCATATGAAATACATAGACGTAGTCACAGGCTTATGATTTTTGAAAAAAACAAATGCGCTAGCAGAAGAACATTGCAATGCGTTCGAGTGACCGATGAATAGGTGTATCATACATGGATATAGCACATATATAATCAACATCAACCGATTACATTTGTTACTGAATATTATAATTTGTATTTTCTACTTATTGTTCTGTGTGATGACATCCATAAGTTGCACATTATGAACCCTCATCTCTTCCGCCCTAAATGTAAATCTGTTATTTTGAACTCAAATGTTTCCCCATTTTGCAGAGTTTACTGTCCGATGTGCCGATGCGTAACGTGGTTTTGGCTCAGCAACAAGAACTTGAGAGACTGCCAACGATACTGCGCTTCTCTCACATAATCTACGCTGCGTAATTCGCATCTTACTTCCACCCCAAGAAAAAATGTTCGGCTCATGGCAATTCTCGTTCTAGTTCTGGGCCTATACTTTCAAAAAAATTTGAGAGATCGTAAGTTCATCAGCCAATCATTGACGGCCTTTCAAGCAAAATCCACCAATCATAGACAAGAAAATAGAGCGTAAGTACTAACGTTCACTTAGCGAGCTTTGAAAGTATCCACCAATCATAGACAAGAAAATAGAGCGTAAGTACTTACGTTCACTTAGCGAGTTTTGAAGGTATGGCCCCTGAAGTATGCAAATTAATGCATACATTTAAAAACTGTTAACGGCGGGCTGAAACTCGTGATCTCTGTTTCATCGTTTTCATCTGCTGAACTTAACCAACATTTATTGCATATCCCATATTCAAATGGCTTGCACATGAAAATTTATTTTAGTTACATGTCACTTAGGATTAATGATTTACTTGCAATTTTGCAAGTCTTAATTGAAAATTTGTATGTGTTCATGTTGATAGCTGATTACACTGTCAGAAATAGTATTAACTTTCAGCACTTTTCTCGATATGCATTTTGTTTCAACACGGAATCTGATTCATTGTTTTTGCTTTATCAGAAGGTTCAGTAAAGCATTCCACTTGAATATGTATGAGTTAACCCTCGAATATGTATGAGTTAGCAAAGGATTAATATGAGTGCGTAACGTCTTCGATATTTCATTGCTTTTAATTTTAATTATAGTGGTGGAATCATGAGCCGTTAAAAACGGACGTGGTACTAAAATGAATTAAAAATTCACAATGCATTTTTAATTCGATACTACGAAATTTTGTTTGAAAATAATTCATATACCGAAATGGAGTCCAGTTGAAGTTCAATAGTGACCAAACGTGAATGAGACTTTTTAAAACTACATTTATTTGATTTAAAAATGAATAACGAATTTAGGAAAGCACAAGCCGCATCAATTTCCGTGATTATACCGGGCAACGCCGGGTTAAGCTGTCAAATGATAGGACGTCACATGCCTCAGGAAGCTCTGGGTTTTGAAGAATGGGATAAAAATATTTAAGAGATATCCACAATATTTATCATTCTGGGATACTTATTACCTATTGGAAATGAGTAAAATTTTCATGTTCAATATTTAGATAAGGATAGCCGAGATTTGAATTTAGTAATTAAAAAGTCAATCGACCTAACATTTTCATAGAAAGTATTCTAATTGGGCATAAAAAGTATTCAACATTACAAGTTCATAGCGAACAGTGAGTGATGTGAGAGCAAACAGGATGTAGGGAGACAATGCAAAATTATTTTCTTCTAGCGATTTAGATCTATCGACAAATTATGATATGAACCGAATAGTTGAATCCTGTGTTCTTTATTTTATGGCAGGCTAATACTATTCATATGAAATTCATGGCTCACAGCAGGAAGGCTCACTCTTACAAAAATTATTTAAAAATTGAATCGAAGGAAAAAAGATTCAAGACATAGGGCTAAGAATTAATAAAAAAAATATCCTAACAACAAAGGTGTGGTGGATGATGGCACAAGAAATGAAAGTTGCTAGGGCATATTCAATTTATAAAATATTATGATGAATTATCACATAGAGATGATATATGAGGTTAGATGAAACCTCACCTCTCGTACCCCGAGAAATTAAGCTTAACGCCAAGCATTAGCGTGTAGCAGAAACTAGCGTGCAGCAGAAACTAAAGCACGAGACTGCAACTCTGCGTACTACACCCACAGTCAAGCAGAACCTGCAGCGCAACTAACAGCTACAGGATCACCACAACTACCATCAGCAGACTCACCACAACTACCATCAGTAGACTCACCACAACTACCATCAGCAGACTCACCACAACTACCATCAGCAGACTCACCACAACTACCATCNTACCAGCAGCAGGCTCACTAACACAACCGTTACCAGCAGCAGGCTCACTAACACAACAGCTACCAGCAGCAGGCTCACTAACACAACAGTTACCAGCAGCAGGCTCACTAACACAACCGTTACCAGCAGCAGGCTCACTAACACAACAGTTACCAGCAGCAGGCTCACTAACACAACAGCTACCAGCAGCAGGCTCACTAACACAACAGTTACCAGCAACAGGCTCACTAACATAATTTTATTCAATATTGACTGAAACATCGTGTTTCATCATTTACTCAGGACTTACTGAAAAAGTGGCGATTAATTTTACGTGCCTTAAACAATATTCTATATTCCATTATTTATACCTAGTGTGAATTTGAAGTTTCATTTTGATCCAAATGCGGTATAAAAACGATAATTTTCAATTTGAAATCAATGTGCAGGTTATTCATTATTGGGATTGCTAGGCACAGTCTCGAATACCCGGAGTTTATTGAACGCTAGTGGAAACCAAAGTAAAACCGCTTGAAATTATCGTATTTTTGGAATCTCATGTGGCTTATTATACTGTCGGCATGAATCTGTCCCATCAAACAAAAATCTCGAGTAAAACTTACTATCCACATCTGCTTATGACGAACCCTTATGAGGGCAAAATTTACTACTGCCACCAATCGGAAAGTAACAATCAATTCTTTGCACGTGTAGAAAACGAATGCAGAATTGCATTCATTCTGTACTTCAAGAAGCATGTTTTATGTAATTAACGTGCAGTGTGATTAACGAAGCTTTGATAGAAAACGAGTTATCAGGATGGAACTCAGCACAAGACGCACGCCAGACGCCAGTGAGTGTCTGGACGCTGTCGTGAGTGGTTAAGTTCAGCGGTGCGGTGACTGTCGCTCGTCACCACTTCAGATTTGTGAACATTGTTGATGCTTTGCCGAGAAAACCGATGCAATACAAATCTAAATCTCGTAGCTAGAACTCTATTTGTTAAGTAATCAGAAAAAGGATCGCAGTAACCGACAGGCGACAATTGAAACAATTTATTGAAGTCTCTTGAACTTGAAGCGAAAATGAATAACTTTGTCAAGGTAAGTAAGCCACTGAATAATGTCCGAACTACTGAATTAAACCCATGCAAAGTTCAATTTTATCATCTACCACTAACTATCTTCTTAACGCCCTATAAGCCATATCTGACCGATTCAATTTCGCCGGCTGTATTTGACCACTATTTTGATTTGTTGCATCCTCGGTTATGCTCTGCCCTGCAAGATAAACTAAAATTAGGTTGCTAGCTAGGTACTGCAAAATTTGTTCTTTTTTTCAACTATTACCAGCTGGCATTTCAAGTGTATCTATTATGACTTATTTCATTCATTGAATATCCACATGATGTGTTACACTTGATTTAATTCATGTTGTTTCAGGGATAAATTTTGAATTTGTTCTAAATCAACTTCAAACATTGTGTCGAACGAGATTCTTTTCAACTGGCATGCTTGCTTTTTTTTGTGCATGAATTGTTATTTTTATTTGTTCGACATTCCCTCTAGTCGGCTCAACCTAAACTGTAGTAGGAGTACATTTTTCAGTGCTAACTTTAAGTTAATGTTCATCTGAGAGCAATGTTTCAAGGTCCTCGGGAGTCGGGATGGTAATTATTGGTGCCCAACCTAACCGATCGCTTCCCGACTGCTGTGGGCAACGCTACATGACACCTTGCTGTCCCTACACTAGTCTTGCCAGTCAAGTCATTATTATGATGATTGAAAAAGCCAGCGCGAAGGATGAAAATGTAAAAATGAGAAATTACAACATTCGTGCAAACGCAACTTGGATAAACAAAAGGAGGATAGTACGTTATAATTTTAATTCAAATAGAAGACGACTTCGATAGGTTTCGGCACAACTTTAGCAACAGGTATATATATACTCCTGTGGACTGGCGCCGTCATAACGATGGACCCCATCGTAAGTCTGCTGTTGCAAAATGAGCTCTCCCGTAACACATCAGCCACAAAATGAACTCTATTGTTATACTGCTGTAGCAAAATGAATCCCACCGTAGCATATCTGTAGCAAAATTAACCCATCATAACACTGCTGTCGCGAAATGAACTCCACTGTATCACTCTTCGTCCACAAAGGGAACTCGCCCTAAGCAGCCAACAAACAAATATCAATGATTAATGTGTATGAGATGAACTGCACAACAAAATTTCCAACCGCTACGAAATTTCTTCAATTATTTCGTTCGGAATGTGCCGTGACGTAAACTAATGCTTGAGCAAGGCAACTACACTATGTGACACCATCTAGTTACGTGTACTCATACCCAACGCTGCTCGACGAGAAAATTTTTCCAGAAACTATGTTTTATCCACTAAAACTTGTTCATGAACGAAAATGAAAAAAGGGATTTGTTTTTTATTGTTCGATTGTATTCGATGGTAAATATTTGAAGTATTTTTCGAACAAACTTTGAAGTAAGGTGGGAAAACGCTCATGTCGCTTTTTTTACGTCGTTTATCATATAAAGCAGTCGCGAAATTCTGTTTTTTGATTTTAACCTTCGTAACGGCTGTCATTTCAGTACGAGTACAATTTCACTGCAGTACAATTTCATATTTTCATTGCACACTTGATGTGCTAGTGAAATTGGTAAATTATTTCTTCGAAACGCACTCCGTGACCTTAGCTCAGAATATGCGATTTCTGCGTGGCATATTTAACCCGTCATCACCAAACAAGGAGGGCAAAATTTTCAAGTTTACGATCTCGGAGGTGACGGATGTCATGACCACGTGGCGGCCTCCTGCTGAGTGCTGACCAGCGATGCCGCACCTGCTCGCCAAAATCACGACCCAGCCCTAAAATGTGACGCTACTCTCGCGTCGTGCAAACCTTTTCCATCTAAAAATAATCTCTTGATTTGGCCTTCAGTAAAGTCAAAAAATCCTCTAAATTGTGAAATTGTTCCCTAAGTCCTGCGGCCATGCATGCGCATTTATTTGCTATTCAGATTTGAAAACATTGAGTTCGTTAAGTTGCATGCTTAGAAAAAAACAGTCCAGTATCAGTCAGGACGATGTCTCTTCCTACATATTTTATGTCTATTTCACTACATCCACGAGGAAATATTTTGATCAGTTTTAGTTTAGTTTTTATATGAGTGCTCGTTGGTTACCTAAATTTATTTACTTCATTTATTCTTCCGTACTCATTGACCAACTTTGTAAATGCGCAAGGAAATTGGTGTTATAAAATACTTTGAAAGTATAAATTTCATATTCAGTATTGGTTTAATACTGTGTCCGTCAAGACACTGAGATAAACTTAGGAAACAACAACAGTTCATCACTGCTCACAAAATGAATTAGTTGACCTAAGTTGAACAAATTTTCTCTGCCATAACACTAAGTAAAGTGAGCTCAGAAGAAACATACTCGGACGCTGTCGATTGTACTGCTGCAGGGCAGTCTGGGTGTGCAAGCAGCGCTCCCGCGCCTGCACTCAAGTTCCCAGCGTGTCCTTTACGCGACGTAGATATTCATTCATGGAGAATTTTAAAAATTGTTTGACAAACCAGGCGGAAATTCGATGGATGAAGGTGGCTAAGAGAAGCTATACCTGACAGAAAACCTATTACTGGCAGGAAACCTATTCCTGCAGAAAACCTATTCCTGGCAGAAAACCCATTCCTGGCAGAAAACCTATTCCTGGCAGGAAACCTATTCCTGGCAGAAAACCTATTCCTGTTGGCAGAAAACCTATTTCTGGCAGAATACCTATTCCTGACAGGAAACCTATTCCTGGCAGAAAACCTATTTATGGCAGAAAATCTATTCCTGACAGGAATTCTATCCCTGGCAAGAAACCTATTCCAATTTCTGTGCGACAAACAGATACATTGGTAAAAATAATTGTGTATAAATTTGTACTGCACAACTCGTAAATAATCTAATACTTTATTTTGAACGTAAATATTCAGAGCAAATAAATAAAAATATTATTTATATTTTATTCAGCGCAAGATTCCTGACTAAAACACGTACCAAATATTTCTTCAAACCAGGTTAGTCGAGAGCCAGCATCGAACTAAATTTACTACGTTGAATAAAATCAACTAGAGTTCGTTTCCTATGACACACACTTAGGGGATAATATATTTGACAAAAGTACGTTAAGAATTTGAAATGTAACATCTTTTGTCATCGCATACCTCCTGGCACCACAACACAATGATCGTTTGTAGGTAACGCTAGTAGCATTTAATTCACACAATGTGGCTGTAAGTATTTTATGTAATTCAACGTGGTTGAGTATGTTTACTGCTTGAATTTCGCTGCAATCATAAAAGTTTATGACTAGCCTAAAAATGTTGGCGTATCGCTTTGAAACTCTTAGTATCTTAGAGTTACTGAACTAAGCTGTAACCATCATAACCCAACTGACGCACAAACAAAACGCGCGGTGAGGCGCTATCATATAAATTTTGTTGTTTGTTTATTTTATTCTATCTTTATCCAGCATTTTTGCGTGCTTTTAAATGTAAACTCTGGCGTTGTGCGATCTCTTCTTGTCGCTGCTGTTGAACACGAAATAAAAAAGAGGATTAACTCAAGAGACCCAGGAAATGCTTAAAATATATTCATTGACATTCGCGTCTAGAGACTTGAACCTCCGCCACTTGATGTTTCGGCGAGTTTCTTGACAAAGACGGGGAAAAAAGAGCGGCCAGATCCTGATATTTGCGTCCCTCAAGGACTTTGTTCTGAGAGCCAACGAGCGCGCAGGAAAGCGATGACCACCGCCCCGCAGCGGCTGTCCACAAGGTCGCGCGCCCATGCAAGGCCGTAAATGTCCTGCACCCGATTAGTTACATCCTACTAGCCACCTGAAATGGCGATCAACTGTTACTCGTACTTGCTCTTACGATGTACGATCAACTGTTATTCGTACTTGCTTCTCTTGCTTCTACGGTGTACGATCAACTGTTATTCGTACTTACTCTTACGATGTACGATCAACTGTTACTCGAACTTGCTCTTACGATGCGAGAAAATGTCTTGTTTTTACACGCATGGCTTCTTGCGACAATCAACAGACTGGAATTTATTCGTCATGAACAATTTTTTTGGCGTTACATAAACCATCCAATACTGTGAAGCATTCGGAAAACGATTTCATGTCATAATTTAATCAATGCAATTCAATTATCCAATGTAGAATGTAGAGGTGCAATTGTAAACCTGAAGTATTGTTGTTCTGGTGGAGCTCCTGTTATTATCAAGCATACTAGGAAGTCAAATAAGTGTTGCGACATTTTAGATGAATTCTGCCTGAAATGCAGGCTTTTCAGCAGAGGTTAGGTGAACTGGCTAACTTAGGGGATGGTGATGTGAACAGCTCAAGCTTGAAATGACAAGGACATCAATCGGGACTAAAATTACTTCGTACTCGCCAAATTTTCTACTATGTTCGGTAAAAATTTACTCGTGTGTAGTGCTCTTCAAATAGATTCCAAATTGATTGCTACTTCATTTCAATCTTTTGATGGGATTGCTTTTTTTTTGTGGTTTTCAAAGTCTTGAAAAAGACTAAATTTTCGAAGGAACACCCCAAACAGAAACTTTTACAAAGAAATATGAACTAAATGTAACAAATTAACTCTTGCAATTCCTCTGTTCTTGTAAGAAATATTTTCCCTACGAAATGAGTGTGGCCTTAGTCCAAATACCGCAAGACGCGCGCCAAACTAACTGCCTCCAACATTGTTCTCTCTCATCTCTGCATCGACTGAGCTGGACCAGAGATTCCAATAAAAGCAGCGCTTTGTTTTCCTACAGGAAAACGACACGCATTTCTTGACCCCCTCTGACCTGCCTGCCAAAGCTGGGCCGATCTGTCCAACGCTGCTTGACAGATGATCGCTGCAGCTGGTCAAACTTTTTGGCAGTAACATGCATAAATCTGTCGTTGCAGCTTGACCATTGTGTGGCAGTTACGTGTATCACTCCGACTCAGCTTGACCATGTTGTTACGGCCTTGTGCATCAGTCGTCGTAGCTTGACGATGTTGTGACGAC